TCTCTCCCCCTCTCTCTTCCCCCTCTCCCTCCCTCTCTCTCCCCCTCTTCCTCTCTCTCCCTCTCTGTCTGGTTTATTGTCTGTTGTTCCCCATGTTCCGAGGGTTAGACATGCTTGCACACTGATGCAATTAATCTTGTAATGTCAGCTAACATTATATGATAATAAAAATATCCAATATACCTGCTGGAATGTCCCTTCTCTGGCCATGCGCAGGAGCTGAAGCCGGTCTGCTTCTGTAGGAACCTCCAGCTCCAGCAAGATGCACCCTTCTCCCGCATTTCTTAACTTGCACTGCACGTTACATTTCTCTGCCATCATTGTCGAGAACTGTTCTCGAGTTTCTTCATGACCAAGCCTCTCAAAAATGTCCTCCTTTTGTTTCGGATTGATTCCAAGTTTGATGCAGGTTTTCACAAATTCTACAGAAAAGGGCCAAGCAATACAATCGGTTTCAATATAAGTACCAGCTGATAAGAATTTCTTGCAAATGCAACATAACATGTGCATGTAAAGTTTATCTGGAAAAAAATAAAAGTTCAACATAGACAGTCACTGTAAATAAGGATGAAGGTGTTAAATATCATGTGCTCAAGGCTAAAAGCAGTTACCATATATTAAATTAATAATATGTATTTTTGTTAAGTACAACATAATCAAGTAACTAAAAACACAAAATCCTATTGAACATTTTTTACAGTTTTATTTACTGTTTAGAAGCCATATAATTTGTCTTCTCAGAAAGGTACAACATAATCAAGGAACTAAAGACACAAAATTCTATTGAAGAATTCATACTAAAATTACAAATACTAGTACAAGAAACTTTATACAGTTGTTATCCTTTCATCACAAGCTAGTTAAAAAGATAGTGCTTACTGTCTTCAGGTGGCAGCAGTTTCCCCATGATGTTGTTGTCCCCAATGTGTACATTTTCGCAGCCTTCTATGTCCTTCCTGCTGTACAGAAGAACAGTTCCAGGCTGGCGGATCACAAGCTGTGGCCGACTCACAGCAGCAGAAGTCGCACCTACGAGTGCTGAACCTTCACTCTCAGGGGTTTGGGCAGAGCCAAGCACATTGTTGTGGCCTAACTGTACAGCAAAGGAGTCTTTCACCTTAACGTTCTCATGGATTATGACTTGATCTGGCTTCTCAATGATTATAGAACTGTGGCCTTGCACTTGCTGGAGTGCCGATGAGGCTACATCGATGGTTGTTGGGTTGTTGGAAGTCACTTGTAGGTTGTAGGCTGTGGTCTGTTCGGCAACTTCCAAGATGGCGTCCCCATGCCTTTTTTTTGTTTTTGTCTCAGACAGAGACGAAAAACTCAAGTTGTTGCCCGGCAGCCTGTCTAGAGTAGTTTCTGTAGTGCTTGGCATAGTTAATGCCGCCTGAATTGTGGCCGTTTGGTCACTATTCTCCTTCTTTTCCTCAAGAAGGCTTGGTATCTCCAGACATTTGTCAGAAATGATTGGGTCTTCGTTGGCACAGTCAATGTTCCCATTTCTTTTGCCATCGCCGCCTTCAATGTTGCCTTTTTCCTTCTCCATGTCTTGTGGTCCTTTGCTGCTTTTGCTACCATGGATTTTGAAAGCTGTACAAGAGTATGGATCTCCAATATCAGAAGTACTTGTACAATTTTATAACACAGCAGGCTCAAAATCAGAACCAGGTTCAAAATGGAGGTTTGGAATGCACCAGCTTTGTTCCCCCTGCACAAAGTCAACTAGATCTTATTACAGGTGCTCTGCACTGATTGGCTCAGAGACAAGCTACCTAGTAGTATGTAAACAGTACACTGCCAGAGCCTTTACATACATGTGCATGTAGTATCACTATATCAGTACTGGCTGTATGGGAGGGGGGAATTTACCTGCTTTGGTCCCTGCACAATCTTGCCTGGATCTGAGCGTTACCAGCTCATGATTGGTTGCGAGGAAGATTATGCACACAGTTTATTTGATGACTGAGGCAATGTGCGCAGAACTTGATACTAAGTAAGTCCACGAGACTCAAGTACAATGTACAGGTAGGGGGGGGCAAAGTCCAGGCTTGGACATACTGGCAGAGTTGTAAACATCATTTATGTACACTATGACAAACACAGTACAGTCAAACCTGTCCTAGTGGCCACCTCTTTAAACCAGCCACCTGGCCATTTTTTTCTAAGCATCAATAATTAGGCTACCTGCCCAAGAAGGCCAACACAAGCATCCTGCTCATTAAGACCACCTGTTAAAACTGTCCAAGAAGACCAGTCTTTACATCAGTACTTGGAGTGGTCCTCTTGGCCAGGTTTCACTCTACCAGATACAAACTATTCAAGCTGAGTTTTGTTTGTATGGATAAAGAAGATAACATATAATGTACATGTACTGGTAGCAGTATATAATTATGTACATGTACATTGTATACTTGTTTTGTTTTGTGTGTTTGACGAAGATCTGAACTAAAGCTATGATTTCATTCAATTTTCTTTCCTGTATTTACAGAGTTCCAGCTCTTGACTTGGGCAAGCTAGTGGACAATGACAACACGGTAAGAATTTACTCATCACTCAACAAAATGTAAAAATAATTTTTCGCCATAAACACATACTGTTTTACCAAATATATAAATTATGTTACTGGACTTTGGCTCATTTCTAACCATGCATATTGACGTAACATCTTCAATCAATTAATAAATCCATCCAATGATGATCAATCATATAGTTTATTATTAATAATCTTATTGTTTTCCAGTTGTCGAGACCCCCTGACACGTATGCCCAGTACCCCACTCTACACAGCCCTGGGGCAGCCTCTACTGTCAGGTCTGTTGTCACAAAACTTGGTTGCCAGTTCATGATTTTCAATCTATCTTAAACATGTAATCTATGCTATGTGACATACATAGTTATGTGCATATGACATAATGACAAGTTTTTCTCTTGGATTTCAGTTGGGGAACACCCATAAGTTCTCCCTTTGCTCTGCACTACCCAACTGGTGGACATTTGAAGGTAGGAGGAACACACTGTCCAAAAAAGGTTACCTTCATGAATATAGGGTTGGGTGCAAACATACTGATTTGGTGTTTTAAATGCAAATGTTCCTTTTATCCTTGTTTGCATTGTTGGTAGATAATATTTTTATTTCCACCTACAGGGAGCCTATGGCAAACCAGCTTCAGGTCGTGTGAAGCAAGAACCCAAACAGAAGGTTAATTTTTTTCTGTTTTCTTTCATTAGTTTCAATGCAGTTTAGAGACAAAGACCAAGTAATGATCCAAGTAAAGATCAGGTAAAAATCCTGGTAAAAATCAGGTATATATAATTATATTATTTAAATAATCCTATTTTTATGTGTTTACCTTCACAGAAGGAAAACATGTTGTTTTTGCTCAGCTTCTTCTTCTTCTTCTGTTCCAAACAAATAAGGTCAATGACCTCAACCAGCCTTCTATCACAATGGTAACCGGTGCTGTAGCAACACCCTGTGGTGTTGTGTTACATTATGTAGAAGAACAAAGTTAGAGAGACTGCTCACCATATATGCATGTATTTGACTTTGATAAATATTGTACTTTGCAAAATTAATGTTACCTTATTAGTTAAAAAGTCATTTTCTATGTTTTGTCTCATCTTCCATGCCAGACTGCGTGGGATGACCCTCCAGTTCCAGACAACCTGCCCTCCCCCGGAGAAAAGTACAAGGCCCAGTACCGACAGTACCAACAGGAGAGGGAACTGCAGGTGCAGGGGAATGTTCCACTCAACGAAGGGGGGGACGCACACTGTCAGGTTGAACCCAAACATTCCCCCAAGGCACCAGCTAATGGGGACACTAAGTGAGTTACAAAGTTTGTAATATTTATTTTACACAGAGTTTACAGAAATCTTCAATTATATAATATTCTTGTGATCATTGCAGTACTGTTTTCTGGTTTCTTCCATGAAGGGCAGACATGAAGAAAAATTGACATTTTAAAGTTTTGGTCAACCAAAGAAAAAATTGAAGGCTGGCATTATGTCTAAGACTAGTTTTTAAAGTATCATTCATTTGTTTCAGTAGCATCTTAGGAGGCATTTTATGAGATTAGAAGACTTTCAATTTGAAAGTATATCTCACTTCAAAACTGTATTTTTATATCTGTTTCAATGAAAAAAAAATGATTGTGTACATGTCTCTAAGACATTCTGAAATTGTTCTCTCCTCTCCTCCAGACTGGATTTCCATGACCAGGAGTCGAGTGAGGCGACACTGGACCAGGTTGAGGCCATGCAGCTGACCTTCACACGGCAGCCCTACAGCCACAGGCAGCAGCAGAGGAAAATGGACGCTGTGAGTCACTTGCTTGTTTATCTGTTTGTCTGCTCATTCATTTGTTCTTTGCTTCATATAGTCATTATGTCCTTTGCCCTTTCCTTTATTCAGTCATTCATTTACTCATTTATTCATTCTTGTGGAGTATGAGTGAGTGAGTGAGTGAGTGAGTGTGGGTGTGAGCGAGTGATTTAGTGAGTGAGTAAGTGAGTGGGTGAGTGAGTGAGTGGCAAGTTATACAAAATGTACATGTAACCCAGCTTTCACCACCTCCATCCTTTCTTGTAGGCCTGGGACACTTACATGAAGAAAGAAGAAATCAAAGATCCAGACTTTTCCCCTTTCTCATTCATTCATTCATTCATTAATTCACTCACTCATTCTTTCCTTCTTCCCTTTCAGGAAGACTTGCGTGAGGAAAGAAGAAAACAGATGATAGTAGAGCAGGTGATGGTGGACATGTTGTCGCGCGCAGTCATCAGCGATCCTGAGCAGGACAGAAGAGAGGCCGCGCCTGACCACCCCCCTCCCTCCCCGTTCGGCTTTGGGCCAGGAAACTACACCAGTAACAGGCAGCACAGGAGGGACCTGCATAACACCAAGTCAGTCCTTTCAAGAAAAATAATATCTATTATAGTCCTTGATGAGCTTACTTAATAATGATGGGAAGAATGTACAAGACCATCCCCATTACACTACATGTAGAAGAGTTTAGTATTTTGAAGTCCGTGTTTTTGCAGACTCTCTGTCTATTGAGACATGTATTTCACTAGTGCTGTCCTTTTTATGTTTACCGAAGAAAAACATATTGTTTTTGTTTATTTGTTTATTTGTTTATTTAAATTTTTCACAAAGTGAAAGGGAGGGCAAAACAGGTGCGAAGCACCTTTGCTAGTTGCCCTCCCACATACAAAAACAACAAGAATGTACATTACACAGTCAACAATCTATAATACAAGTAGGGCACAAAATATCATATAAACATAATCAAGGTAACAACAATGAATGGAAGAGATGACCATATCGGAACGATATCTAGTGAGGTCTTGAGGCAATACAAGAGCTACATCCACACGAAGTGGTCCAGGTACATGGCAGATCAAGACTGTATTGAGTGTTGAATCTGTTGTAGGCTACTTTTGCCAGTTTATGTTTCTGTTTCAGTTTTTTGCCGTTTCTTCTTCCTCGTTCATTCCAAACACTGACCTGTGACCTGGTCAATGACCTGAACCAGACTGTCTATCACCATAGTACTAACTGGTGTTGGGTTACATCATGTTGCTATTTTATAGTAGGAAGGATTTAGACTCCTGTCACCATATACATTTGTATGTGAATGTGTTTGAGCCACTAACAAAGCAGACCATATGCGAAGGTAAATATGAAAATGCATTTGGTTTGCAAATGTTTCTAGTTATCATTTATTTTTGTACAATTATCATGTAGGGTTAAGACGACAACATCACAAACAGAGGAGCTTCTCTCCAGAAGACTGAGTTTCGGGGCCAGATTTCTCACCAGGTTAGTTGTTCAGACTGAAACTTTATCCTCTTTTTTTGACTTTTCATTGCATTTTAGATGTTTTAGTGCTAACTTTTTGCTTCAACTTACATGTATACTGTAGAACAAATAAATTATATTGGTGTGACCTAACAGTTATTTTTTACCCCCAGGAATGGCAGAGATGCCCTTCGCGAGTTGCATGGCTTCTACTTTGCAGTCGACCATTCCATAACTGTGTATGAGTTCAAACAGTTTGGCAAAAGGTACTTTTCAATTCAAGATTTGTGTTGGAAGTCCCACAGTTTGTCAAATGATATTTTCTGGTTAATACATACAAGTAGTCTGTTGTGTGCTGAATGTGTTGACTTTTAACTATTCAAATACAACATATCATCTTCAATCTATATCTAATATAGTTCACATTAGAACACATTGCAACTTGTCACTGGATGTAAAGTAAAGGTACAATGTAGACATCCATAGATGCTTCCCTTAACGTACCATTCAATCATATAATTATATTGACAATCAATCAATCTGTTGTATTGCATGGCTGCAGTAGACATGTCTCTTCGAGATATTTTATTTTCGTTACATGACCTCCTCAGCTCCTTACCTAATGTGTATTATCATATTGTGTCTGATATATTTTCTTTCCTGATGTTGTTAATGCCATCATGTTTCAGAGCCCAGGCCCTGCCCATTATCCAGAGGGGTATTTACTACCATCACATCGGACGTAGGAAGGGGAGGAAAATTACCATCAAAGACCTGGCAATAGTGAGTCCAGAAACAGTCTTTAAAGTTGATTTTTCACTGTACTTTCATACATATTTTCCGTAGTCATGTGTAGAAGTATGAAAGCTTTTAAAAGTGAAATGTTTTACTTGAGAGATAGCCTTTCAGTCCAAAGTCTAGTAGTACCATAAATGATTTTTTTTTTTGCACTTCATAGTCTTCAAACTAGATTATGTATTATATATAAATTTGTTCACTTCAAATTTATGTGTATTACATCTACAGGATATGTTTTAGTTAGTTAAGTTAAGAGCCTAGTCTACGTATAACTTTTTTTTTACAGAGAACATGTAAATAACCTCAATAACAGATCATTTTCAGCACCAAGGACAGGAATGTTTTATTCTTTCAACAAGTTCGTACTTCTTAAAGAAAGAAAAGTATTCTTCACTGGGCTTGAAACTTACAGTAAAGGCTTTTACCCTTTCTTGTTTCCAGGGTCAGAACCTGAGTTTTGACACCAAGGCCCAGCCGTCCTTACCCGACTCCATCAGGCTCAAACCCACCGTCATACTCAGGGTCATCGACCTAGACCACAATGCAAAGGACATCCTCATGTAGGTCAAAGGTTAAACTGTCAGCACCTTGCTTGCTAAGTTGGAGTATATTGTGTCTTTTTTTATTACGATTAGATGTTTCTGAAACAAATTTTATATTCAAGTCTGAATTAAAAAAGAGGTTGTGCATTACTTGCATTCTTCCAAAATCTCTCTTTCAAGCTCTTATTTTTCTTTTTTGATGTTTTTTTTTTTCTTCTTTTTCATCTCTCTTTGAGCCTCATAATTCTTATTTTGACAACAGATTGCTGTGTGTTTAGGAATGTTTGACATTTCCGTACCATCATGATATCAATTATCACATAGAAGACAAGCTCTCTACTTTTACTTTCCTTACGTTCGCTTCCATTTTTTTTCCACTTTTTTTTTCTTTGAAGTTTGACGTTTCTTTTTTAACCACATTTTTCCAGGGAAGACATGCAGCTTTCTGCCCAGGGCGACCACGCCTTCACTAACCAGGAGATCCAGGACCTCAAGGTCTTCAGGGAAGTACAAGGTCAGCACAGCCTGTAGCTCTCTATGAAATAAAAATTGGTCAAAGATACACAAGGTATGCCAAAAATAGTTACTCAAATAACTGGTTATGATTTTGGAAATGTTTGCACTCGTTCGTGCTTATAAACCTCATTTTCACCTGGGTTAAGAGTAAAGTGCCTTTTCCAAGGGCACAAGATTGGTGGCATGGCAGAATTCGAACTTGGGACCTCTTGGTTCCAAGCCGAATGCTCTGTCATTACACCACACGACCCCACTAATATGCATCGTTCCATTGCTTGTTAGGAAGCTTGCAGCAGCGGCTAAGAAAGCGAGGAATAAGGACAGTGACGAGTCTCGGGCATCACTTCCGCAAAATCGACAAGTCAGGAGATGGGGTGCTGAGCAAGTCAGAACTTCGGGAGGCTCTCCAGCAGAACAAGATGGACGTTTCTCCTCAGGTTTGTTTGTTTGTTTGTTTGCTTTTGTTCCTTGCTTGGATGAGTTACATTTGTTTGTTTGTTTCGCATTACCGGTAAACTGCCTTTTTTAGGCATAACACACCAGTTTTGCACATGTAAGTATAAGCTACACATGTAAGACCAAACTGTAAGGTTTGAACCACTCACACCGGGAAGGTGTTCTTTTGTGACAAAAAGTGCTCTTTTCGATAAGTGTGGTGGGTTCTTCACCGTGCATGGGGTGTGGCTCTCAACAAACATGGGACATCCATTTAACGTCCTATCCGAGGGACGTCCCTACCCGAAGCTAGGTACTCATTTCCACCTGAGTCAAGTGAGGAAAGTTGTGTAAGGCACAAGATCGGTGACATAGGCAGGATTCGAACCAGGGACCTTCTGCAACATCAAAACCTCATACATATGATTAGTCTATCCTTTTAGACTCAGTGCATGGTAGTATTTAGAAAAATGAATTTCGTTGGAATCAAATATCTTTCTTCTGTCCACAGCACTTTGAGAGTGTTTGGCGTATCCTGGATCAGAATGAGGACGGTGTGCTCGACTACGGGGAGTTTATGAGGACGTTTATTGGGGAGATGAGCGAGTACAGGAAAGCTCTCGTCAGAAAGGTTCGTTTGGGGGTTCATTAATGAGAAGTTTATTGCAAATTCGTGCCCAGGCTAATTGCAAATTACAAACAAAAATCAACAATGAAACAGAGAACTAAAATCTACATGATAAAAGGTAGTTGTCTAAAGCTATAGCTATGTCTAAAACTATGTCTAAGGGTTTTGACTTCTCTTTTTTAGACCATGGAAGACGTAATGTCCCACCTTTTCCAAACTTAGTGGGTTTTGGGAAGTTAAAAGAAGAGTAGTTTAATGACCTATCATGAAATTTTATCTGTGTTGGTGGTTATCATAGTAGAATGTTGAATTTTATTGCAACACAATAAGGAGAGAGAGAGATCAGATTTTCAACGACCACTGTTGCCTTCATCAGGATAATTAATGACCACCACTTCCAAAAGTAAAATCGTGAGAGTTACGGTAACTGTTACAGACACGTGACCTTATTCACACTAGACTTTAACTTGTTGTGTTGGAATAACGTTCAACATTGTACTATAATTAATGACCTATTCAATTAGAGCAGGAAGCTGTAAAATGTAAGGTACTTAGGTGGACTAGCTGTTTCACTTATTATAGTCATTAGTGCTTCTGACACTCATTAATTTAATGAAAAAAATTGAAATTATCATACTTTCCTCTCCCAAGGCCTATGACAAGTTAGACCCCAACAGAACTGGAAGTATCAAACTCAGTGACATGCGGAAGTTCTACAACGCACGCAAACATCCTAAAGTCTTATCAGGTGAGAAGATTTAATTAAAAATCTTAGCTTTAGGTTCCTGAACATCTGAAATGTAAGCAAGATGAGAGAAGTTTTGATCGTGTAAAAAGAAAATCCCTATATTCACTTTCCTGAACAGTTTCTTGCACTGCTAGGCCCTCAAAACGTTCAGTATTCAGTTAGGATTATCATGTGTCACTACTCACTAGCATTGTGGATCATGCTATTACCATTATTACCATTTGCCATTATTATCACTAACATCTATACTCCAGGTAAAGCTAGTGAACAGGAGATACAGAACAATTCTCTGTGAAAATTCTCTGTGCAGTTTTATACACTGTTAGGACCCCAGAAATATGCAGTTATCAGTTTTGGTTATCAGTATCACTATTATATAACATTATCCCTGTAATATCATTCTGTACTCCAGGTGAAGCAAGTGAAGAGGAAATGCTTAACAGTTTCCTGGACAGTTTCTCCCACTGCCAGGACCCCAGAACCGTGCAATATCAGTTATTAATAGGCATAAACTAACCATGATGATAACCATTGTGTATCTCTTCATTCCAGGAGAGGCTAGTGAAGAGGAGATGCTGAACAGTTTCCTGGACAGTTTCTCCCACTATCAGGACCCCAGAACCGTGCAATATCAGTTATTAATAGCCATAAACTAACCATAACAATAACCATAATGTATCTCTTCATTTCAGGTGAGGCCAGTGAAGAAGAGATGCTAATAACAGTTTTTGGACAGTTTCTCCCACTATCAGGACCCCAGAACCGTGCAGTATCACAGGCATACTGCTTCTACTACTACTGTCAGTCAGTCTCAGTACAGTGTTAACATACTGTATATCTTTATTTCAGATGAGGCTAGTGAAGAAGAGATGCTGAACAGTTTCCTGGACAGTTTCTCCCACTGCCAGGACCCCAGAACTGTGCAGTATGTGGAGTTTGAGGAATACTACGAAGGAATGAGTATTGATGTGTCCAGGGACGATGATTTCGCCAACATCCTGAAAAATAGCTGGGGAATTTAAGCTCGGGCTTCTATGGTTACAGTTAAAAACATCTTTAAAAAATTTTAACCCTTGGCCTTCTATAGCTAAGGGTGCAGTGAAAATTTCAACATGATGCTGCAAAATAGCTATCAATGTAAGCTTCAGCCTCCTAAGGTATACACCAAAAACTTCAACAACATTCTAAAAAGTAGGTGGGGCATTTAACCCCAGGCCTACTAAGGGTTCAGTGAAAACAAAATTCTGCAGTTCTGCAAAATAGCTGGGGAATTTAAGCTCTGCATTCTAAGGGTTCAGAAAAACATGGTAAATGGTAGCATTCCAGGGGTGTACCCAAAGCGTCTGCAACATGTTGCAATTGGCTTTGGAATTTAACTCTCTGCTTGTTAAAGTCATGTGAACCAACAATATGAAAAAGCAAGAAAAAACTTTCATGAAGATACATGTAATAAAATATTCGATTAGCAATCTCCAAGCAGCTATTGGGTTAAGGGTGTATAACTAAGTAGATATATTTGTATAAAATTGCATGGGTAGTTTTTAATAACAGGTGTGAAAATCAATGAACATTTTAAATGGGGTGAAATTTATTGCGCATACATATTAGTTTCTCTATAAATGTGGTGTTGTATATTATGGAGATAGGACACGATATATATGATCATGACAAAGTTTGAACCAGAATGTTGCTTGTTTTAAGTTACATATACACTTAAACAGTATGATTACATTAATTGTTGGTAGTAAAAATGACTCAAAATGACTGCAATGGCTGTTTGGATATTTAATGCAAAATATTACCTGCCTAAGTAACAGTCTGTCATATTTTCCCATAAATACACAGAAAATAAAGTTAACCTTTAATTTTGACATCCAAGGCAAACATTAATGCAGTGTTACTAGCATGTTTATTTTATAACGTCGATACATTCGAATCTCCATGACGACAAGAAAACACAACAATCCAATTCCATATAAGGCACTACGTTCTACTTGCGGTTTTGCTGACCATGAACGAAGCACCCGATTTCACCAGGTGCAGTTACACTGAATGTCGCTAGAAGGCATCACTTCACAACACACCAGACGGGTCTGTCTACTTTTCAAAGGCAACCTTACAGGACCATTGACAACGACGTCTCTACATTCTAATTTGTAAGAAACATAACATCTATGATACGTCGGTGAAGGTTAGACATCCAGGTAATAAGATATCAGTACGCACAAAAAAATAGTTACTCAAGCAACTGAATATGAAGTTTCCAAAATTATGTCCAGTTGCTTGAGTATGGTTCCTTCCTTAACCATCCATGATTTTACGATGAGAATGTTTTGTTGGACAAACATTCTTATAGCGGACTAGAAAGTAAGGTGTACTCCGTAACCGTACACAATAGTAAAGACTAAAGTGCTTATCAAACCAACATTTGCAACAAGCTTTCGCTCAAATCTCTGACCCATTTCAAGTTGAAATGACGATCCCTAAAACGGGACGGTGGCCGATACAGATTGCTGGTCACCTTTGCCCCATTGCTGACGTCACACGTCCACGTGACTTACTATAAGCTTTGGGTCATTCAAACTTGAGAACGGACAGAGATCTGACCGAAATCTTGCTCGTAAGCTCTAAATTACTTTTGTGAATGGCTATACTGGTAGCGTTTTAAATCTTCATTATGCAAGTTACAGTCACAGATGTACTTTCATTTAAGGTTTCTTGTAGTAAAGTCATGAAGAAAATTCATACTACATTTCCTGTATTTGTCATCTGCGTTGGTGGCGGCATAAAATAAGTTGATATAACTTGAGTGTGCTGTCACCATGTCTAGTCATGAAATGTTGGGGAAAAATTCATACTAGTGGAAGCTTTGACATGTTAAGGCGCGTTATTTTGTAACAATCACAGTTTATTCATTTCCTTCTTACGAAGGTAGTACGTGAACCTGATTTCCGGTCGGATCATTCCTTGGCACATACGGTTGTTACTCGCTTCTTTCTTCAGCGAAAAACCCTTAATATCCACTCCCGGCGGTTTCCAAACTTTATATTCCTTCTTCTGTCCTTTCTTAGTGTCTTCCTCCAAGCACGTGTCTTCAAGTTCCTTATTTCTTAGTCTTAAGAAGGCGGCGTCCTCTTTGATGTGTCCTCTGTAGTTGTTGATCTTCTTCCACAAGGTCTTGTTGAAGTAATTGTACAACATGGCGTCCGCGCGATTCCACGCGAGAATCTTCGAGACCATGTCGCTGGTCACGTGATTCACGGACCACTCGCTACGGGCGTTGACCTTGAAGGTCGTGACGTCATCGGTATCCCAACAGAGGAGGTCTCTCAGCAAAACCATCGATTCGTGGAAATATTCCGCGATTACCACGAAATGGAATATCTTGTCCAAGTGACGTATCGCCCGCCATACGTCCTTGTCTGTTTGAAGGTCATCGGAGTTCCAGCCAAGGTCAAAGAACATGGGGTTCCTGACGTGGTGGTTCACCCCCCTCTTCTTGATGTTTTTGCTGGTGAATTTTTCCGGGGATTCCAAGAAGGTTTTAAAGGGGTTGGGGCCTGTGATGTTGTAAGTTCTGTCCAGCCGGAAATAGGTGAACGTGGATTCGAACATGGTCACGGGATCACGCAGGACGGTGACGTAGATGGTGTCGTTTGGCATCAGTTCCCGGATGTTGGCGTGGTCGAATCTGGTGTGGTGACACAGAATGTCGTATTCCATCGGTTTTGCGGCCGAATTTTGTTCTTGCAGGACGGATTTTCGGTTAAACGGCGAAGGATATGATAAATAGTGGCCCGATTTCGGCAAAACGAAGGTCAAGTTATAATGGTCTCCATACCGGAAGAGGATGTTCTGAATGGAGGAACTTCCGGTTTTGTGGGTCTTGGCCAGCACGACGTGTTTCCGGTGACGACACTTCCGGCTGGCGCGCCTGGTCCTGTGGAGGTCAGGGTTCACGGGTTGGCGGGAACTGGACGCTTTGTCAAACCTTTCTTCATGCGGCACTGACCTGTAAACAACACAGAGATAACTATTGTTTACAGGTTCGAACATTCAACTTTACATAAGTGAAAATTGTGACTATTTTGGGTTAAATTCTCCATGTGTTCGGTGTTTTCATGCAGTAACCATGATTTCAGCACCAAGGACAGGGCCCGTAAATATTATATTTAAGCAATTTTTGTCACTCATTGAAATGGTTTTCGGAAATCCGGATGGTATCCAAGCTAGGCTTGGTAGACCGATCAGCTTATAATATCTGTTTTGCAGGGGGCACAGCATGTTACAAGACAGGGTTACAACCTGTAAGTGCTTTACAAGGTGTATGTCTTCTCTGTCACGACCAGTGGAAGGGTGTTTCAACCTTCCATTGCTTTTATTTCAGCTTAACTAGTTCGAGATCATGATCCCTTTTCATTTTTTGCAACGAAAAGGCGGAATCATGACCGCTAATGTCCGCCCTATATATTTGACCGTTTCCACAATCATATCAAGTTGCTTGAGTAACTGCTTTTTTTTGGCGTATCCGCCCTATATACTCCATCAAAGCAGTAAAACCATCCATTTCTGTCTAATAAATTCGTTCCCATAGTTTCCTACTCCCCAGAGCCCGGTTCATACACAGAGAGTACCTGATCGGAAATTAAAACCTTGTAAAGGCGCGTCCTCTCAGGAAATCTCGTTCGCAGGCCAATTGACCTTTTGTAAAATTCAACCTAATTTCTGTCCTGGCTTTATAGTTACTGTAACTGGACTATTCCATTGTTACATGTTACGATTAGAAGTCTGATACCAGTATATTTTCTTTTTTAAAATAGAAATATATTTCTCTCTTTCTCTCTCGATCTTTGTGTATGTGTTTGTTTATTTTCGTGCGTATTGCTGTGTGTATGCGTGTGCCTGTGTGTGTTTGCTAGTATTTTACATTGTGTGTGTGTGTGTGTGTGTGTGTGTATCAACTAGTATTTTACATCTGTGTGTGTGTGTGTGTGTGTGTGTGTGTGTGTGTGTGTATGCGTATATGAGTGTGTTTGTGTGTGTTGTGCCGTTCGATACACCAGAAGATGCTAGTAGCCTGGTACAACATAAGAAGTGTTGTAGAAATATTGCGATCAAACCCACATCACCCCTTCATGAGGTTCAGAAATGGAACAACCCGTAAAACCAACCGGGAGTAATGAAAGACTGAGTCGTCTCTTTGTACTCGAACAGTAATCAGTCAGCGATACCAGAGCGGTAATGAAAAATGTTCATCACTGCTCTTCCCTCACTTAACTACCAATTTGTGTCTGTGATTAAAGAATCAATCAACAATGCTTCCTGTTTCAATTAAACCCATTACAGGAAATTCCAACAGCGACCTTATTAGTTGTAGAAGAAGTGATTAGTGTGTTATTTATTGAATTCCAAAGTAAGTTAATCTTCATTACATCTTCTCCTGTCCTGTATATTTACGGATGAACTACAAGACGTGCGCTCAAAATTCTTTCTACAGATGCGTTTCTGGTGCTTGAAAAAGTGCATTGTGTCCTTGTCGTGCAAACACAAAGAGTTAAGGCCGCCCGATCTAATCCAGACCATAGTCGTGAGCAAGTTGGCTGGTGGTTGGGAGTTGGTTGGCTAGGTCAGTCAGTAATAGCAGCGGTAATGAAAAATGTTCATCACTACTTCTCCTGCGCTTAACTAGAAAATTAAGCACCTATTTGTGTCTGTGATTAAAGTATCAATCAACGATGCTTCCTGTTTCAATTAAACCCATTACAGGAAAATCCAACGGTGACCCTTTATTAGTTGCGGAAGAAGTGATTAGTGTATTATTTATTGAATTTCAAAGTAAGTTAATCTTCATTACATCTTCTCCTGTCTTGTTTATTTACGGATGAAGTACGAGGCGTGGAAACACAAAGAGGTACGTATTAAGCCATCCCAACTTATTCCAGACAATAGTTGTGATCTAGTCGTGAGCTAGTTGGCTGCTGGTTGGGAGTTGGTTGGCTAGGTCAGTAGCGGTAATGAAAAATGTTCATCACTGCTCTTCCCTCGCTTTACTACCAATTTGTGTCACAGTGATTAAAGTATCAATCAACAATGCTCCCTGTTTCAATTAAAACCATTACAAGAAAATCCAACAGCAACCCTTTAATTAGTTGCGGAAGGAGTGATTAGTGTATTATTTATTGAATTCCAAAGTAAGTTAATCTTCATTACATCTTCTCCTGTCTTGTATATTTACGGATGAACTACAAGACGTGGGCTCAAAATTCCTTCTACAAATACTTTCTGGTGCTTGAAAAAGTGCATGTCTTTGTTGTGGAACACATAGAGGTACATATTAAGGCCTCCCGACCTGATCCAGACCATTGTTTTGAGTAAGTCTTGAGATAGTTGACTAGTGGTTGGGAGATGGTTGGCTAGGTTGCCGACTAGTCTTTCAGAGTCGTCTGAGCCAGCCGACTACCAATTTAAACAATTTTTCCCGTAGCTTGCATGTCGGGTCACCGGTAACAGTCGGGATTCGAACTCCCAACCGCTTAGTCCAGAAGCGGGGTCACTAACCACTGCACTTAACACGCTTCGGCCACTTTCAAAATTTCTCCAATAGCTGCGAGAAAACTTGTGTTGTCGATTCCTTGTCTCTCCAACTTGTTCCGGACTGCATCTGTCTTGCGATATGGCCGGTCCGAGGCCGCCCATTGATACACATTTCCGCCCCATCCAATGACCGTAACTCGTCTTGACGGATCACTCCTGTCATTCCAAATGTCTTCCGCCGCCCCACATCAATGAGTCCACTCATCATCAGGTCTCATTTCAGGAGCCTGCCGGCTGCTTTGAGGAGATAGTTATGCCAGAGTCAACCCAGCGGCCGCCATGAGGCCCTTTGAACTGACTTCTTTCGGAGGTCGCTTCGGATAGTGACGACCATAAATTGTGCATCTTCAGAGGAAGCGCAACAAGCATTTGGATGATGTAAATAATTGTAAATAAAAAAAAGTAGAGGAGGTGGAGTTCCTTGCCTGATACTGAAAAGCTTATCGAAACTTTTTTTGTGCCACTTTTGAACTCATTTCTTTGGAAGGCCGCTTCGGATAATGACGACTATAAATTGTGTATTAGAAGAAGCACAGCAAGCATTTGGTTGGGTCAATAAAAGTAATGTAGACAAGTACTGTAAATAATCAAGGTATATAGAAGAGGTGGAGGTCTAAGTTGCTACCCCAAAACTACCCTTTTGACTGACGGTTTGACCAACCGAACTCTTTATATCACTACTGCTATTTACTACTGCTATTGGTAACTCCAGCTTGTAACTTTAATATCTGGTCCGAAACTACACTATTGACTGACAGTTTGACCGACCGTACCCTATATGCTATATAACACGTTAGTGATGGATGCATATAGCGTACTGTCTGGTAACTTATTGTCTGGGTCGGACTTTGCTGGCACTTGCTACCCTTGCTTACTCTGGCTTTTCTTGAAATTGAACTCTCTAAGTTTCTGTCCAAAACTACACTATTGACTGACAGTTTGACCGGCCGTACCCTATATGCTATATAACACGTTAATGATAGATGCATGTAGCGTACCGTCTGGTCTGGTAACGTGTTACTGTCATCTATTCCCATTGCTAACCCCAGCCTTTCGAGCAATTGAACTACCCTTTTGACTGAAGGTTTGACCAACCGTATACCTTTAATGATGATCGCAGATAGCGCAGCGTCTGATCTGGTAAATGTTTGTCTAGGTAAGACTTAGCTAGCATTTGCTACCATTGCCAAACAGGATTTCGTGCAATTGAACTCTCTAAGTTTCTGTCCAAAACTACCCAATTGACTGACAGTTTGACCGGCCGTACCCTATACGCTATATAACACGTTAATGATAGATGCACGTAGCGTACTGTCTGGTCTGGCCGCTGATTCGGGTCAGCACCTCCGGATCTCCCAAAGAGCCACGAGGGAAATCTGCAGACGTTTCGGCTCGAGAATGTGAAGGACGGATTCTATATGTTTCTTCTGACCTTTTTTTCTCATAAAGGTTCTTTGGCCTGAAAGTTGGGTTTTCAATTTAGACCCGGGGTTACTTGGATCTGCTGCTGGTTAAGTAGTGCGGGGGCGGGAATTGCAAGAACCTGGGTGTTACTGTACTGTACATCTTCAAACAGACTTATATATATGAAACCTTCACCTTAACCTGAATACTCCGGTCACTACTACGAGCTTCATGCGAGTAGTAGTTATAGGTAGATTCGTAAAACATAGTAACAGCAGATTGGCGATGCAGCCAAAGATGAATTACGCCGATCTTTACTTTACATTTTCAGACAGACTATAGTATAACCTTCACCTTAACCTGAATACTCCGGTCACTCAAGCTTCATGCGAGTAGGAGTTTTTGGGTTTATTGTTAACTTTAAACATAGTGACAGTAGATCGACCTTGCAGCCACAGCTAAAGTGTGCCGATCTTTGTGTAAATCGCACAAAACAGTTGCAAAATAAAGAAAACATATACTGTAAGCTGCAAAAAAAAATTGGAAAACGATACCAATGTCGTAAAATGCCAAAATCAAACGAAACAGACGAAAATGTAAATTAACAAATTTGAAGAGTAGATTATTCTCCATACCGTTGTCTGTGTCATTTGTTCAACCTTCATGGCTATTTCATAATGAAAGCAATTCTTTTGCCAAACTTTTTTATATTCGCACGCTCGCATCAGTTTTGGGGTTCCCATATAATCAATTCAACATGGCCTTACCAGACTTGTATCAGTTATAACCAGTTGCACAGTAGACGTCACAAGCATGGTTGTAGTTTGATTAATATAGATCAAGAATCGTACCCTCAGGATAGCAGCTTTAAACAGAAAATTAATCCCCTAAAGCTACAGAAAAGCAAGGACGCAATATTTCTACCGTGGCGTTTTTGTCGGTATTATAACAAATCTAATAACGTATTTGCCCTGAAGTGTGCTGATGGTAATAACGTAGTACTAGTAGAGAGCT